AGTAACTCTATAACATTAGTACTATCTTGAGTACATTTTTTGAGTAGTGTGAAAATAGTTCAGTTGTTTTCAACGTAGTGGCCCAATAGCGTAACTTTTAAAGGAGCTTTTCGAATACATACTGCTGTTTTTAATGTCTGAGCAAATGGGATAATCAAACACACGCACCTAAACAGTAATTTCTCTCATATTAAGCAATGGAAAGTCTGATTCATTCTAGTGAACTGTTAATCTTAAATTGTCCTCCCCTTCATATAAAAGCCTTGAAAAGTCTGATTAATCCTAGTGAATTGGTTTATCTTAAATGGTTACTTGTGTGGCGAGCATTGGAAAGTCTGATTAATTTTAGTGAATCTGTTCATTTGGATGGTTCATGTAAATGAACAGATTAAAAATGAAACCATTCGCGTCTCCTGGATTTATTTGTGCCTGCAATTTCAACACATCAACAAATACTTTGATTTCTTAATATATCCTCTAAACAAATTCAGTTTAAATATCATATCCCCTAACAGCAGCCCCATTCACTGTGCTACAGTATGTTGTTTTAGGAGGGATTTTGACTGAATGGGGCTCAGTGTTTTACAGGATCAGTGCTGAGAACTCTCTTCTGGAGATCCAGCTGGAGAAGCTACAGACGTGGCTGCCCGTATGTTACGAGAGGTGGAACTCCTCTCTGGGAACGCTTGTATGTCGACAACTGGGCTATCTGAGGTGAGCATGCTGACAGCTGAATCACACACACACACACTTGCTGCTCTCAGCACCTTTCACTTGACTACCAGCTGTGGCTGTTTTCTGTAGGTCAACCATTCATAGAGTGACAGCAGTATTGAAATGTACTTTAAAGTCATGTTCCCTTCTAATTCAAAACATGACGTGTGCAGCATACAGACATTTCAAGGGATATTAAAGGGATAGTTCACTCACAAATAAAAATGCTGTCATCATTTACTCTCCTTCATGTAACTTCAAACTTGCATGGCTTTTACTGTTGAGATTTTTTACAGAACCATGGAGCTGTTTCCAAAAACAGCCTTTTCCCTAAAATGAAAGTGAAAAGTGCTGTCAAGCTCCAAAAAGGATGAAAAAGCACAATGAAAGTGTCATAAAGTAGTGCGTGATCTGACGGCTACAGTGAACAGTGAGAAATTCTGTTTGGAATGAAATGAGAAAAAGTTAATTAACTGAATTAGGAGTTAAAATTGTAATTTTTAGATGAACTAAAGCAAGTGTTGTCAAATAATCTCTCCTTTCAGATTGTCAAAGCACAAAGGGGTGAATCTGACTGATATTGGGCCGAACTACACAGACGGATTTGTCCAAATCACCTCAGAACACCAAAGCAATTTGGAGAGTTTATGGCGTTTCAGGTAGTCGAGAAAAATACAAATTCTGAATTTCCAGAACAACAACTGTCACACTTTTTCTTTTTCTTTCTTTTTTTTTTTTTGCAGGGTAAGCTGTAGTATAGGAAAGGTGATAGCACTGAAATGTTTTGGTGCGTCTTAATATATTAGTCTGAAATAATACATACTATCCATATACACTGTCTATCTGTGGCTGAGTGTGATTATTTGCTTCATTGTAGAGTGCGGTACCAGAGCAAAGTTACCTAGGATTGTTGGAGGAGTGGAAGCCACTCTTGGCAGATGGCCCTGGCAAGTGAGTCTCTACTATAGTAACCGCCACATCTGTGGAGGATCTGTCATCACCAACCAATGGATAGTTACAGCTGCTCACTGTGTCCACAAGTAAGACTCTTCATTTACAATAACTATGACTTTGGGTGAATCTCACCAGACTTGTCAGAAACCCAAAGAAAAACAAAATAAGAGACGGGTTATAATATTGGGGTTAATTATGGTTTAAAGGAATAGTTCACCCAAACAATGAAAATTTGCTGAAAATATACTCACCCATCCAAGATGTAGAAGATGTTTGGGGAAATTTAGCATTACATTACTTGCTCACCATGGATTCTCTGCAGTGAATGGGTGCCGTCAGAATGTGAGTCCAAACAGCTGATAAAAACATCACAATAATCCACAAGTAATTCACATGACTCCAGTCCATCAATTAACGTCTAACATCAATTAAAGTGAAAATATGCATGTTTGTAAGAAACAAATCTATCATAAAGGCATTTGAACTTTAAACTGGCACTTCCAGCCAAAATATGAGTCCATAATCCATAATGACACTTCGTCCAGTTAAAAAGTCTGTCCCCTGTTGTCCTCTCACATCATAACAAATTTGTTTAGTACTGCTTTGGATTGTTTTCACTTGTAAATGCTGCTTGATTTGTACATATTTCTCTCCACGTAATGATTTTTTTCATTGGAGAAAGCAATATTATGAATAGAGGACTCGTATTTTAGTCTGAAGCAACAGTTTGAAATAATAATAATAATAATAAAAACATCTTGATGTTTTGATTATTTAAAACATGCAGCTTTTCACTTCACAAGACATTAACTGATGGACTGGAGTTATGTGAATTACTGGATGATTGTGATGTTTTTTTTTTTATCAGTTGTTTGGACTCTCATTCTGACGGCACCCATTCACTGCAACTAAATTTCCCCGAAATCGTTCCAAAGAAGAAACAAACTCATCTACATCTTGGATGGTCTGAGGGTGAGTACATTTTCAGCCGATTTTTATTTTTGGGTGAACTATTTCTTTAACCCTAAAAGGACATGTTTTTGTGAGACTCACCCACTGTAACTATGTAGTAGTTGACAATAGTGTTGGAATGTGGTGCGTGTTGGAATGTGGTGTTAGGAAGATACAGGATTAACCAGATGACAGGCACTGTAACATGAAACATAATGCCACTAAAGTTTCAGTTTCACATTGGGTTCTGCAAAGGAATTTATTATAAGCCAATTAAGTGTGCATATCATCTGATTTGCTTGCTTATTGAAGCTACAGGCTACCTCAAGTGTCCGGTTGGGTGGTTTACGCTGGTATTGTAACCAGCAATTCAGCTAAACTGGCTCAATACCAAGGCTTAGCTGTGGAGAGGATCATCTACAACAAGAATTACAACCACAGGACGCATGACAATGATATCGCTTTGGTGAAATTAAGAACTCTTTTGAATTTCTCAGGTGACCAATATTCAGTAAATGTGTCACTGTGTGTGCCATGTATTTCATAATATCTACTAGTTATTTCAGGTTTTAAACGTTCTTTGCACACCCAGACACCATCAGACCTGTGTGTCTACCTAAGTATGATTGTGATCTACCAGGAGGAACCCAGTGCTGGATCTCTGGTTGGGGATATACACAGCCAGATGATGGTACTGTTTTTCTACAAATGCATATTTAAATGCATGTATATTAAAATAAATACATATTATTTAAATTATTTTTATGATTTAGACATTGTACTGTATGTAAATTATCCAATCTTTTTTTAAGTTCATATACCAGAGGTTCTCAAAGAGGCACCTGTACCTTTAATAAGCACAAAGAAATGCAATAGCTCTTGCATGTACAATGGAGAGATCACCCCTCGAATGCTCTGTGCTGGATATACAGAAGGAAAAGTAGATGCATGTCAGGTGAGTTTCATTCTGCTCAAAATGTTTTTCAAAATTATATTAGATTTATCTAATACATTTGTGAGAAGATGTAGTAATGACTCCACATTTTCTTAGGGGGACAGTGGAGGTCCTCTGGTTTGCCAGGATGAGAATGTCTGGAGGCTGGTTGGTGTTGTTAGCTGGGGAACAGGCTGTGCTGAGCCAAACCATCCAGGAGTTTATACCAAAGTGGCTGAGTTTTTAGAGTGGATATATGAGATTATAGAGGTAAGTATGAATGAATGAAGAGACAGGCATCAATGACCCTTGAAATATAAACTTAAGCTGTTAATTGATATGCTCTGTGCTCTTACATCTTGATTCCTGTCCTAGAGCTACTAAAGACTCACGTTTGATAGTAGAAAAGAAGAGAAGAGAAGAGAAGAGAAGAGAAGAGAAGAGAAGAGAAGAGAAGAGAAGAATAGAGAAGAGAAGAATATCCGGACCATTTTTAAAGTGTGGCCTTTTATTTTACTTATTATATTTTATTATATAAAGCCTCAAACATTTACAAAGAAATGTAATGATTACATTTAGATGTTTGTACATTACATGTTTGCTGTATGTTGTGTTACTTTGTGGTTTTAAAATAAATGTATAACAACAATTGTGAGCTGTTCTTTTTATTTTCATTTAAAAAATCCCAGACACTCCATCTTAAAAAAGTTAGCCATCTAATTTGTTTTCTTCTATACTGGTCATTAAATTCAACTACAAAAATGTAGATTGGCCCAATTTTAATCTGAAAAGTGAGACTGATTATATCTTGGCTAACTGCTAGTTGGTCAAACTAGCTCTTAAGGCACATTTTTTTACATAGTGGCTATGTTTATGCAACTGGCCCCAGGTGTCATTATTGTTATTGTACTTTTGCAGTTTTTTGTTTTTGTTACTGTCTGGAAAGCCTAAAGAGTATTTAATTAACGTGTATTTACAAGTTCTAACACCGCTTTAATCAAGAAAGTCTGGCTCGTATTTAATCAACCTGAATGCCAGTGTCCGCTGCTATCACGTACAAACTGTTACTTTTCTCAGCGCTGATAAGCCTGGTCCAATCATAGTCGCTTGTGATTACGCGATACGATTTAATAAACCATTAGATGAATCACCAAACAATTGTATTGTATCTAAAATCGTTTTTTAGAGTTTATAAACGTCTTCAGTAACACAAAAAACATTTAATTCGGAGGATCCGGCGTTCCGATGCCCCTTGCAACCCTGAATTGAAACGGTTATTTTGAGTAAACAGCGCCATCTATCGGAAGACAACAGTGCATGTGTTAGATTAGTTTCTATGGTAACCTTCTATGAGTTTAGGGAGGGCGAAAAACTTGTCCTGGATTGATCATTTATCTTGCTCTTTTACAAAATATTATTATGTAAGACTTTTTTTTGCACCAATATACCAAGCATTTGTTACTAAATATTGTACGTTATCTGGTAAATATCCGTCTAACTCCAAACAGTTTTCATATTAGTTTTAGCCTTCAGTCAGTCAGCGCGAGTAACGTTAACTTGTTACACTTCTTTTGGAAGGATATTTAACTAGCATTTTGTTTAGTTGTTACACTAGTTTCGGTACATTTTGAGCATGGAAATCCCTGGCTATGATAATAAGGCAGCTCTGCAGCAGGTCAATCAGTTTTGGTCGATGTTAGATGACATGTCTCAGAATAACCCGGAGGAGTACAGGACCTTCATTGAACGCCAGTTACGGGAAGGAGCGGAGTTTCACTCACCGCCGCAGCCGCACGCCTGCATCCGCACTGCTCTGCTGGTAAAGTAAACTACACCTTTAAACTTTACCAAGTCTGTTATGATTTAGCCTATTTTATAGAGCCACACAAACAAATATTCCATTGTAGCTGTATGAGAGCAGTTTAGAGGCCTTATTATTTGATTTGATCGCTAGCTTTTTTTTGTCATGGTAACGTAATACCATGTTCAGGGCTTGACATTAACTTTTTTGGTCACCAGCCACTGTGGCTAGTGGTTTTCCAAAATTACTAGCCACTCAGCATTGTCACTGGCCTCAATTTTGTTGTTAGGAAATTACTACTGCATACTCAAATTTATTTGTTTATTTATTTATTTATTTTTAGCTATATAACGGTCAGTTTTCCCTAACTTTATTAAATTTATGCATCATCTCATGTTCCTTAATATAATTGCATGACATTCCTGGAAGTAAGTGCATTAAAGTTCCATGAAAAGCTACATGAATGGTAATTATTTAGTACCATGGTATTAGCTTCTGATACCATCACTGAACCATGGTGGCACAGAAAATGGCTGGCATGTACAACTAGTTTGAAATAATAATTTCTGAGTATGATGTAGAAATCTAAAAAGGACTTTCTCTCTGATTACTTTTTCAGGGATCAAAGGAAGGAATATTGTACATTAACATGTGCGGTTGGAAACGTGTACCAGCGCCCACTTCTTACAGTGATCCCGTTCCTGTGTGTGGAGGACGAATGGAGACAGTGACTGAGGAAAATGGTACAAAAATGCCATCTCATCCTTAACAATTAAAATTACTAAATGCTTTCAAACTATTTTCTTTCTAACTAAAAGACTCACTTTTTAGGTGACATTTGTTCCATTATTCATTGGTTCATAGTCTTGTATTCCAATCCAAGTAACTCACCAACTAACCTACTTGATTTTCTGCTTGATTAACGTCCTATCTCCTTAGACCTGATTGTTAAACACCTTATATTGAGACAATCTGATCTCCTGCGTGTTTTACAGAGCAATACAGTGTTGTTGATGTTGCCTTCAACCCTGAAGTTCTGCAGACTACAGAGAAAGACAAACATGAGAAACAGAAGCTTCGCCTACTTGCTCTGAGCTTCATCCAGCAGCAGCACAATCTGAGTCTGTCCCAGCGCTATAAACTCAACAAAGACAAAATCAAAGGCAGAATTCAGGATATGAAGCAGCGTCTCATGTCACCACAGACGTGCGAATCTTCTGCCAAAAACCCACATTCTGAACCAGGTAAACTGCCCATGAAACACAGTGACAGTTTGAGCTTTATCTTACAGGTTTTAAGAGCTACTGAGATTAGCTAATTGTATAGAACCTCGTTATGAACCTGCTGGAATGCAAATGAAGTGATTTTGAGGATTGCAGTGCAATATTGAGTGATTCTACCTCTCTTTGTGTAGCCCCATCACTCCTGCAGCAGATCTCCTCACTGCGGCTGGCTGAGAGTAATGAGGACTCAATCATCCAGCTGAACACAGAGCAGGAGAAGAAACCAGCCCGATCAGGTCTCATTGAGGTGATCTCCAGCACAGAATCAGACCAATCGCAGCCACAACAGCCCAAGCATCGTCTCACAGTCTGTCCTGATGGCAGCGGCTCATCTAGGAGCCTGCAGCTGAGTGTTGAGCTTCCTGGGGTGAGATCTGTGTCACAGTGCCGGCTCAGCATCTCTCAGGTCAGTATCACCAGTACGTCAACTGTGTGGGATGAAGTTTTAATTACAAAACTGTTGCCCCCACTGTGGCTAGTGGTTTTCCAAAATTACTAGCCACTCAGCATTGTCACTGGCCTCAATTTTGTTGTTAGGAAATTACTACTGCATACTCAAATTTATTTGTTTATTTATTTATTTATTTTTAGCTATATAACGGTCAGTTTTCCCTAACTTTATTAAATTTATGCATCATCTCATGTTCCTTAATATAATTGCATGACATTCCTGGAAGTAAGTGCATTAAAGTTCCATGAAAAGCTACATGAATGGTAATTATTTAGTACCATGGTATTAGCTTCTGATACCATCACTGAACCATGGTGGCACAGAAAATGGCTGGCATGTACAACTAGTTTGAAATAATAATTTCTGAGTATGATGTAGAAATCTAAAAAGGACTTTCTCTCTGATTACTTTTTCAGGGATCAAAGGAAGGAATATTGTACATTAACATGTGCGGTTGGAAACGTGTACCAGCGCCCACTTCTTACAGTGATCCCGTTCCTGTGTGTGGAGGACGAATGGAGACAGTGACTGAGGAAAATGGTACAAAAATGCCATCTCATCCTTAACAATTAAAATTACTAAATGCTTTCAAACTATTTTCTTTCTAACTAAAAGACTCACTTTTTAGGTGACATTTGTTCCATTATTCATTGGTTCATAGTCTTGTATTCCAATCCAAGTAACTCACCAACTAACCTACTTGATTTTCTGCTTGATTAACGTCCTATCTCCTTAGACCTGATTGTTAAACACCTTATATTGAGACAATCTGATCTCCTGCGTGTTTTACAGAGCAATACAGTGTTGTTGATGTTGCCTTCAACCCTGAAGTTCTGCAGACTACAGAGAAAGACAAACATGAGAAACAGAAGCTTCGCCTACTTGCTCTGAGCTTCATCCAGCAGCAGCACAATCTGAGTCTGTCCCAGCGCTATAAACTCAACAAAGACAAAATCAAAGGCAGAATTCAGGATATGAAGCAGCGTCTCATGTCACCACAGACGTGCGAATCTTCTGCCAAAAACCCACATTCTGAACCAGGTAAACTGCCCATGAAACACAGTGACAGTTTGAGCTTTATCTTACAGGTTTTAAGAGCTACTGAGATTAGCTAATTGTATAGAACCTCGTTATGAACCTGCTGGAATGCAAATGAAGTGATTTTGAGGATTGCAGTGCAATATTGAGTGATTCTACCTCTCTTTGTGTAGCCCCATCACTCCTGCAGCAGATCTCCTCACTGCGGCTGGCTGAGAGTAATGAGGACTCAATCATCCAGCTGAACACAGAGCAGGAGAAGAAACCAGCCCGATCAGGTCTCATTGAGGTGATCTCCAGCACAGAATCAGACCAATCGCAGCCACAACAGCCCAAGCATCGTCTCACAGTCTGTCCTGATGGCAGCGGCTCATCTAGGAGCCTGCAGCTGAGTGTTGAGCTTCCTGGGGTGAGATCTGTGTCACAGTGCCGGCTCAGCATCTCTCAGGTCAGTATCACCAGTACGTCAACTGTGTGGGATGAAGTTTTAATTACAAAACTGTTGCCCTTTTTATTTTATAAATTGAATTTTCCACAGTTCTGGTTTAACCTTTGCGCAGACCTTATATGGGTTTTATTCATGTTGTGAACTCAATAAGGGGTTGGTTTTTATTATTTAGGATGATATTCTCCTGGAAGTAGAAGACCTTTATTATCTTCATCTTCAGTTTCCTGAGTTGGTCAAGGAGGACACATGCACGGCAACGTTTAATAAGAAGAAACAGACTCTAAATGTTACAGTGACTGTGTAATGAGAACACTTAACTCTTATTTATCCAGAAACTGAAAATATAAACACTATAGTTGTATTACCGACTTTTGTCTCCAAGATCATTAATCATGCAATGAAATTCACGGTTACATCAATAATTATATACATCATTTTTGGCCTCAACAGGTATATTTTATTCACAGACAGACATCTGTTCTTGAAACTATAAGACTGTTATAGAGATTATGTAGGGATGCACCAAAATAAATTCTTAAGCCAATAATTATTTCATGTTATTGCTGTTAAAATAAAATGATTATTAATTTTAATAATTATTTGATGTTAAAATTCTGTATTATTTTAAATAATTTAAAAATAGAACATTATAAACTAAAATCTCTAATTTTAAAGTGAATTTAGACATAACATTATAAAGTACAGTATGAAAAATGGATATTCATTCTTAGATTTGCTGAAGATTACATTTAGTTTAGTTTAGAAAAAAAAATCTCTAATATCAGCAAATAATCAATATAACAGATATATTGTGCATTGCTGAGATTTTAGAAAATTGAATACACAAAAAAGCCTCCACCTGTGCACAGAAAGCCTTTAATAAAAGGTGGACAAGTGTCAACTGCATTTGCATTTACAACACAGATACCAAACACTATAAACAGACATGCAAACTTGATAGGAAAAGTACAATCATTTTCAAAAGGAATATTTCAATATGTTCAAATGTTACAAATTTGTACAAACAAAGCTTTTACCATCCCTTACTTTCAAAGGATAGTCAAGAAAGGTTAACACATTTTAGTGAAAAATATATTACCGTGAATGTGTGGACATTTTTGATGATATGTTTTCTTAAAATGGCCTTTTTCTCGCAGGACAATACATGCACACAATGTGTTATATGCTTGTCAAAGTTTGGCAACTAATGCAACATGTTTATTATTTGTCACTGCACAAGACAAATACAAGTTTTAAATAATCTTCTTTTCTTGATCACTTATCACAATGGCAATGCTGAAACACTAGATTCTGGAAAACAAAATGTACCATAACCTCAGTGCACTCAAAAACATCAGTATTTAGCTGTAAACCATTTTTTTAACAAAGTTAAAAATTCATTCTTCTTTCATTCTTAAAAATGTATATACCCTATTTTAGCCTGCTGTACACTGCACACTGGCCTGCTGTAATGACATAGTGAACTGGTTCAGTGAGATTCACAGTTAGGACAGGACAAAGGCTTCAGAGTTTTACAGGGATGAGGTATATGTTGGTAAAACATACATTCTGAATGGATCAAACCCTCATGCTCTATCTCCCCTCTCCGTGATCCTCCTCCACCCATGCGACAATCTTCCCTTCCCATCCAGGAATAACAGCATCGTCCTGAAACACCTGAAAGACGTCACACACATTTAGAGAAAGACCCTGAGCAATTGCTACTTTTAAGTTTGGAATATTGAATTACTCCTGATTGGTTGTGATTTTCACCTCTTCCTTCACTGTTCCAAACTCTGGATCCAGAGATTTGAAGTGATATCTGAAACTGCCATGTCTGTCCACAGCCACCTTGAAATCCTGTAGCGTGACCTCCCCCAGCCTACCAATAAATAGTTCATATTTAGATGAGGAGACCTGTGGATTCAGTCTCTATAAGATGATGCTATAATGTCATTATTTCCGTCACCTCTTAGGGATATTGACCAGGAAGGGTGTGAGAGAGCGATCTGTGTAGTAGAGTACTTTGGTTGAGGCTGCTGCACTAAGAACAGGGCTACTGTGAGAATGAGCCATCTCTGGAAAAAAGAAAGCAACCATTTAAGTAATGGAAATTGGTGTGAATCAAAAGTGAATATATATATATATATATATATTGCTCCTCTGTAGAGAAAAAATTGCATGTTCAATATGTGAGCAAATCGTTCCTTTGAGTCAGTTCTTTTCAGTGAATTGGTTCACAGATAGAGTAGAATAATTCAGTTTGAATGTGAATGATTTTTAAATCCAACAATCACAAACGACTAGAAAGGTTACAGAAAAGCCATTCATTGGTCTAAAAAGTGGGACCCTGCATGAATTTCTATAGAATAGCAGAATAACACTGAAGTGACCTACTTGAGCTTGATGGCCATGATTCTCGGTCTGTGTGATTGGCTTTTCGTCCAGGAGACGTAGTTGAACTCTGGGGTGGCACAACAAAATTTCAGCATGACTTTTATTGCTTAAATGCATGTTTACGATTCATCCATGCATATATATTAAATTTTTTTAATGTTGTAAACTCAAAATATCATTACTGGACACTCCACCCCAGGTGAAAAAAGTGCACTTCCATTCATGTACTTAAAGTGCTCTATTTCATGCACTAATTAATATACTAAAAATTATTCTTTAGTACTTTTTAAGATAATCTTAAGAACATCTATGTGTACTCAACTGTGCTATTTTGAGACACCATGTATATGAACTAAAATGTGCTTTTAACATACTATATCTGTATTAAAAAAAATGTATTTAGTTACCATACAAACCTTTCATACAAAGTTCATATTCATGGTATCTCAAAATAGCAAAATCAAAATTCCCTTCAGGAACTCGAGCTGCATCGAACGCTTTGGGAACGCCCTCGGTGAGACACCGTACTGAAGCCTGTGTGAAATCAGTCCAATAGCGAAGCGAGACGTTACGAGCGGGGTGACGTAAGCAGCCAGGAAGCATAAAGGCACATCCGGCCAGCGTGCCTGTTAGCTTTTGCTCTTCAGCGAGCGCGTCTGTGGTGTGTGTGTGAATGTATGCAAAGCACTCAGTCAGTAAAAGAAAGTTAAGCGAGAAAAACAATGCCAAAATCAAAAAAGAATGTGGCGAGCGGACGGCGTTTCAAGTCGTGTGTTCCTCCTTGCCCACGTTATATCTCGGGTGAGGATACACACGATTTGTGCGTCATCTGTTTGGGAGCGGAGCATGCACGGGCAGCTCTCGAGGGGGCTTCCTGCCATGATTGTGAGCTTCTCCCGCTCCGTGTGCTTCGCTCCCGCCTGGCCGTCTTCGATGAAAGCGGCCAGGCTCGCGATCCTGCTGGGTCCGGCCCCGCTGTTGCTGAGGCACAGCGGCGGCTGTTATCGTGGGCGGGCCACCAAGGAAACGGCCAGAGCCATCGGCCGTTGCATGGCAGCTCTCGTGGCCACGGAGCGACACCTGTGGTTAAATTAGGGCTGGACAATAATTCAATATCAATATGTATCGCGAACTTAGATGTCCTTAAGATTATCTTAAGAAAACATCAGACTTCTCAGCGGTGATGCATGCAGGACTTCTCTAATCATTTAGTCCACTTAACCTCCACCCCTGCAAGCTCACATTCATCCGTCTCCAGCGCAATGCCAACATCTCAAAATCCAATCAAAAACCGATGCATAGAACCAAGTCCGGCCTTGCATTTTTTCTTTTTCGATAATCTGTTAAACTTGGATGGACCTCGCAATGTGGGGGAAAAAAAACTGTTGCTATTTGTGACCCTGGATCACAAAACCAGTATTAAGTAGCATGAGTATATTTGTAGCAATAGCCAAAAATACATTGTATGGGTCAAAATTATCGATTTTTCTTTTATGCCAAAAATCATAAGGATATTAAGTAATCATGTTCCATGTAGATATTTAGTAAATTTCCTACCATAATTATATCAAAACTTCATTTTTGATTAGTAATATGCATTGCTAAGAACTTCATTTGGACAACTTTAAAGGGTTAGTTCACCCAAAAACTATGAGAATACATTTTGTGCGCAAAAGAAAAAAAACAACAACTTTATTCAACATTTCGTCTCCACCCTGTAGTGCCATTTTGGAGAATATCCACTGGACATATACAGCGTATGCTATTCAGGGTCAGACAGCTCTCAGATTCCATCAAAAATATCTTAATTTGTGTTCCGAAGATGAACGAAGGTCTTACAGCTATGACTGGTTTTGTGGTCCAGGGTCACATTTCTGTTTCATTGCAACTTTAATACATATTTTCATCTAACATGGAACATTATGGCAAGTTTAAACTACATTATAAAAAAGCTTTTCTTCCAGTAATGTTAATAGAATATTTGATCAAAGTTATCTGGTCTTTAATAATGTGCTCAAAACATTACAAAAAAATTATTTATTCATCATTCATGGAAAGTTATTTTCCGAAACATTTTAGTTGGACATTTGTCTAACTATTTTTAAGCATTAATACTTGTGTTAGAGATGTTTTAGATGACATTCAAAAGTAACTTATCCATAATGTTTGCAAAATGATCAAATGGAATGTTCTCTTAATGATTTCTATAACTTATCATATTGCCAAGAAAAAAGAAGAAGTTTAAAAACATTGAGAAATAACGTTTTCATAACTTAACATGAACGTTAGCAAACATTCTTGGAATATATTTTTGTTAGTAGTGTTGGATACAGGTAAAGGTTGGACTTGCCTTTCTCTCCTGCCTTTTCTTGTTCTCGGTGGTGTGGAGGCGGTCCACTAGACTGGCCACACCCTGCTCCAGCGTGTCCAGCGTGTGGTGCTGCGGGTCATGACCGCTGAAACTGTCCCTCAGACTGCGCAGAGCATCTCGCACCAGCTGTAGCTCATCCCCCTGATGCACACATCCAGCCAGAACAAACAATACACACATTTATTAGAAATTTTAAACTTTTTAAAATGAAGAATGCCATGACTCACCATTCTGTATTGGAAAACAGTGGAGGATGTGTCGATCATGTGACTGTAGCCGTTATTCTCACAGCCTGACAACTGAAGCAAACAATTTTGTATTATTAATGTAGAACACTACAAATTTACTAAGTCGTTTATGGTTATACCTTACAGTAATCCACATTTTATGGGAATGTCTAAGAAATACGAAGCTAAATACATTAGGAAGGTCAGGAGACTCTTGTTGTGCTATGGCTCCCACTAGTGGAATAAATTACAGCTACAGAGTGTTTATGTACAACATTATGATATAAAAATTCGATAGGACAATCAAATATTGCATAATCAGGCCCCTAGTAGTTAATTTAGTTACCCTATGATAGCTTTCACTGATCCTGAGCAATGCATCATCCACTTTTGCTTGCTGCTGCTGAAGAAGTCTGTCTTTCAGCCCGAGTTCTTTCTACAAAGACAAGTGCATGTGAGAGAAAAAA